CAATGATACGGCTTCCTCCTTTGAAGAAGACTTTTTGTTGGTAGACGGCAGTTTCACGAGGTTTCTTCTACCGGGCATTGGAAGGAGGACAAGTAGCATTTACGAGATTAACAAAGCAAGACCAATTGATCTGTCCTCGCGGTTTTATGCCCAAAAATAAATTCTGAAATTATGCAAACTGAGCCCAAAAATGTAAAATTAATTTGCGATACTGTTAATTTTAAACAAAGAATGATAAAGGAAAAAAAATCAGAAATTATGCAAAAAATGATCAAATTTGGCTAAATTATGCGAGGTGCATAAAACCTCGGGGACAGATTGATGGTTTACCCAGAGAGATTTCATTGTTATACATGAATGAATCTTAGTACATTTGACTACATTTTGAAGAAGGTAGAATCTTCTACCAAGAGCGTTGCACGAATTACGACTAGCCCAGTTGCTACAGTGATCTCACAGGAACAAAAGTTGGTAAGTAACCAACTGTACATCCTGGCGCGAAACGCGCGTCAAAAAATAAAAGTTGTTTCTGGTAACCTTACCCACCAGGCGGCAAATTAGCAGCAGCGCCATACATGCACGTGACACGCGTTGACTATGTCATGTAGGCTTACATAAAAGAGTGTGCCATATTACTTGCGCGGTCTCGCGCGGTTCAGACCAGGCGTGCGATTCCTCGAGGGCTCGTTTCTCAAAACCCGCCACTACTACTACTACTATAAACACTGGCTAAGTGAGATAAAAAGAGAGAGAAAGGAAGAAAGAGAAAAACTGTTTTCACGTGTTTTAGTTTAAGTAGAGGTTTTACGCTGCTCGCAACTGCATAAGGTCTTATGAGCGCCAGAAGATTAGAGGTGTTACAAGAGAGTAACAAACATAAAAAGGAAGGAGGGGAGATAAGGACGATAGATGGTTGATAAAAAAGAAGAAGCAAATCACACCAGAGCACCAACCAACCACCCATGTTTGCATGTGTCTGTGAGTGTGTGTGTGTGTGTGTGTGTGTGTGTGTGTGTGTGTACATGTATGAGGTTAAACGCCCCTATCAACACTGTTAGGTTATTTAAGAGGTGGGACCTCCGAGTTTTACATCCATCTCCAAAAGGACAGAGCCAAGTGGGAAATTCGTGTAAAGTGCCTTTCCCAAGGACACAACATCGGAACGACCTGAGGCTCGAACCCCAAAACCCACAATCTCACGATTACGAATCTGGTAGCCTAAACACGAGGCTATCATCAATACCGCTGTATAAATAAGCTGTAAATGAAACATTCTTACACTGAAAGAACAACAGTAACAAAACCTGATGTTAATCCATATAACACAATTTAATTATCATATTTTTAACACTTTGGACAAACATACATCTGAAGCATATTTTGCACTGGAAATTCACCTTACATAAAAATCAGTCGATAGCTTTGATAAACAGAGGAAAGAGTTACACTAAAACAAAAATGAATGTCACCCAAAAGTGGCAAAACTGGGAAAAATTTGAGACCGCTGTAGACAATCTTTTAAAATAAAAGCAAACAATGAGACCATAAGCACATAACACAAAAAGGCAGCGTCAGTATTGGGCCAACGACTGTAAAGTGAATGATGTGAGATGAGCTTCTTACTCTTATTGTAATAACTCATCATATGAAATGTGCTGGTTGTGCATGTGTGGGTCATGTGGACACGAGTTTTGCAAATCAAAGTGTGAGAGCAAGTTTATGGGTTTAATGCCCCTATCAATACTACTGGGTTATAATTTAAGAGGTAAGACCTCCGAATTTAACGTCCGTCTCCGATAGGACCGAGCCAAATGGGTTGAGAGCCTTGAAAACTCCACAAAATGACCAAAGTTCAAGAACGCCCAGTCTGGGATTCGAACCAGGGCTATCCATTCCGTAATCCAGCATGATGCCAACTGAGTTAACACAGCACCAAATCGATCAAAGTGTCTGTCAGTGTAAGTGTAAGGAGGACGACAATTTAGAAAATTATAACTAGAAAACATAAAAACTGAGTTTTCAAACTGTTCATAAAGTCTATTTAATGCAAAATATCTGAGACAATTCAATCCTTGGTTGATAGCCAAAAAAGCAGGGTAAGCCTGAATACTTTTTTAAGTTAACCAAATCGATATAATGACAAATTTCAGTTCTCCAAAGACAAAAACAGGGGTAAAAGGACAAGACCTTACACATTCCATTTCACAAAGACAGGCTAATTTTACTGACACCAGGTGATCCCCACCCCCTTCAAATGCAAATATCTTAACTTTGTTTGAATAATGATTACCATTTTTGAAAATCAAAAGCAAGAAAATTGAACAAGCTTTAACACTCCCTTGCAGAATGCACGTATATATATATATATATAAATAATATATATAATATGTGTTTTGGGCTACCTCACCATTCTTTGTGGAACGCACATCAGCTTGTGTTTGCCATCCATCCAACCTTTCCTTGCGGAATGCACATTTACATGTTCAGTTAACTTGCGATCAGATAGTTTTTTAAAATCTGCAACGGCTCACTAAGGGTTTCTACTCCCAGTAATAAAGTTTTGTCATTTCTGAATATTTTGGTAACCAACCTTTGACTATAGAGGAAAAAACAATGTTATGCTCATTGTGTGAAAGCACCACCACTCCAAATCAGACGTAGACTTAGACCTGGGCATACCACTAAAACAGCATCAACCAGCTCTGATTCTTTAGATCTAGATCTGGAGAGAGCTGGTAGTGGTAGTATTGATTTAGATTCTCTATTCAATTCTCTTTCCATTGATACCAAGTTTATGCCAGTAGCACGGAAATTGACTTAACAGTTCCCTTTTCAAAAACATGAGTCAAAATACTGTGTTTCCACTGAATGGCTCAGCTACCTGTACACGAGGAAAGTGTTGAGAAAATAGCGATAACTCCCTCCGCCCAAAACTTTATGAGCTAATACATGCACATCAAACACAAAGTTAAAAGTATAATGCCAACAGTAGAAGTAGAAAATCCAGACACATGTTCTGTATATTATTTACAGTGCACACCTTGGCACACATAAGGGAAAAATACATTAGACTCGGAGATTCACAAAATATAAGCGCCAACACAGCTCTATGAGACATGAGCTATATAATAGCTGCCAAAAGGACTCATAACATTGTATCATCCAATAAATATAATATGACTAGGCACAATGTACCACATTTTTCTCCTGCAACTTTTAAAATCTACTTCCAACTATAGAAGGTTAAAAAAAAGACCATGCTGCAACAGCAGTGCAAATCCATAAAAAAAAGTCAACAAAGCACTTGATTATAGATCAAACCCTGAAATATAACTTGAAATTAAAAATACTAAGGACTCGGATCACAACTTATTAAAATAATGATTTTCAGTTGCAAAGCAAAGACAATTGAATAAAACTCATTTCTACATGCTATAGCTATCATAACGTTCCCTATGCATCTTAACCAGGGAAGAAAAGCAAACAATTTTCCCATCCTCAGATATCAAATACACAAAAAAAACCTCTTTAATATATTTCCCTCAACCACTCAACTTTTATTTGCTATTATTAGACTTCGAAAACAATTTGGAAGAAAATTGCTTCCAGTCATTACTATTTTCAGTCAAAAAGGAAGAGCATCAGCAAAAAGCACAATTTTACTCACTGATCGAACCAGCAAAAATCTCAGGATATGAGGCTTTATCGAAACCAATTCCTTAGGGTCATGGATATGGATGAACAGGCTGGGTTAATTTTGATATTCTACAATGAATTATAATGCACGCTAGCTAAAAACACTTTGCTGGGAGAATAAAAATTTGATTCAGGCAATCAGATGTTGATTCATGGAAGAGAGCAAAAGAATGTAGGTCTACCACTTTACACATCCTATTGATTACATGAATAGTCCATCTCCCCCCCCCCCCACTTTTCCACAACTGTCTCAGCAGTTAGCTCAACCCTGCACAATTGGGAACTCTATGGGCCTCTCACTAGCTCTCAATTTGTTTCACAGCAGAGAAAAAATCCTGGGTACATAGTGCTGATATTTATAGCATTTCATACAAAAAGATATCCGGGGTCAGAAGTTTTTCCAATACCCTGTGTACTTTCCTAAGCCCCAAGTCACAGTAAACAAACTAATACGCAGAAATAAAAAAAAAGTACTGTTGAACCTGTGTAAAACGGAATCGCAAGGGAGCCTGAAAAAAATTCCTTCTTAGACAGGTCAATTTAGGAGGGGGTGATGGAGAGTGGCTTCAAAAGCCCAGTCAGTGGGATCAAGGGTCGCTTGTCCGGTCGGCAAGCAGTGGTCAAAATTTCTCACCTCTCAACTGCTATCCTCTCTGATAACGACATGGGTCAGTCTTACTTATCCAATTACCATCAGTGCTTGCATTTTATAGGACCACTGTTTGAGACATTTAAACATCTCCTTTGCTTCCACCCTTAGCCCCACCCACAAATATAACAAGCACAGTCAACCAATGCCACCCCTCACTGCCATGTAACAAGGATTCGAGGAACTCTTTTCTCGGCTGGGCGTACGATCACGGTGGCAGGCATTGGTCAGACTAATATCGTACCTCTGGCTTCTGGCTACCCAGGAAAGTTTCCGTAGAGCCTCGCTACTCTAGCACTTTCACTTGCATTCATGAGATATAACACCCACACCTCCATGAACCCTGACCTTCTGCATGCCCAAGGCTCATATAGAGATTGGTTAACATCTACCCCCAATTACACCCCTACTCCCCTTCCTCGCCCAACGGCATAGCGTTTAAGTTTAGAGCCGGCGGAACCAAACTTGCAAGTTCTGTTTCAAATCAGCACTGAGCGAGCAAGCATTTTCCATCTTAGACAGGTAAAACCCATCATGGAAGGGAGTGGATTTTTCTTTCTGTTTCCATGTTGGACAGATTTCCGTTTTATACAGGAAATTAAAGAGATATATATCAAGGGGGGAGCCGGGAGATTCTGTTAAGACAGGTTTCCGTTTTACACAGGTTTCCTTTAAGGCAGGTTCGACTGTGCTTGTAAAAAAATGTAACGCTTGTTACAAAAAAAATCTAACATCTTGTGCCCAGAATCGAGTTAAGAAAAGAAACAGAAGCATTGAACGCTGAAATGACTTAACACAGACAAAGAAAAGCATGAACAATGCAGAATTAAAAAGGTAAAGCTCTTCAAGTCATATCATCCACACTATCAAGAACAGAGAAATCCTGCTATTGCTATCATCTTGCTGGTTTTCAAAAAGACGCTTCAACTTCCCTCACCTCTTTCGGTTTCGACAGAGCAGATCTGATATCATAACCTAGAGACCCGAACACGCTGAGTCAATTTTAATGAAATAGTAAAAGACAACAGCAAATCATGCTCATCACAAAATTAAGTTTCCTTTAAGTAGGAAAACAAATAAATAGAAATAAATACAAATGCAAGAAATTACAATGGACTTTGCAGTTAAGGATGATAGAAAAGGAGACAAAGATAAATATTACTTTAATTCAATTCATTGCTTTTTTTGTGTCCAACCTTTCATTCAATTTGAACAGAATGCACACAGACCAAAAAAAAAAAAAACTCTATCACATCTCATGATCTTTCAGCTAGAGTCAATTTTAAGTTGTAGTCTGCTGTTTGAAAACAAGTCACTCTCAAAAGAATCCTGCACTTCTAAATGTAAACAAAAACCAATGAATTTCATGTCCTAGAAATAAAAGTGGAATACTGAACAGGTTTACTCGTTTTTCTTGGAAACATTCTTCCCAGAAACACTTCCATTGCTGGGTGAGTTCGACACATCCTCCACTTTTTCCGTCTGTGAGTCCATAAGAAAGAACTGCCAATTGCTCTGACATCTATAGGCTACGAGATGAGGCACAACTAACATGGCACCATTGACAAGCCAAAAGATGCTGCGAGCAAAGGCAGTCTGAGGCACTCTGTGTATATAAGGAGTCCTGTAGTGGAATGATGAGCCAATATATGACACTTGGCCCTGGGGAAAGAGATAAAAGTAGACGTTCTTTAACTAAAACACTTTCCACCCACGCAGCGCGCAGAGCACACAACCTTTGTCCCTAGGCCCTACGTACCAGGATGCAGATGGGCTACACCAGTACTAAACCTGTATCTCGGCAAAAATACCCCAACCATTATGAAATTTTCAGTATAATAGAGAAAATTGAACGTGGTCATTGCATGTTCACTAAATAAGGAATTAGAATAAGGAACAGAAAACATTAGATCTACCACATTTATCACTCAAATTCTCATCATGGCGTAAGAGTAAAGCAGCATTCATGCTAAGTCTACTCAACATTTTCAATAAGATTCACTCCAATTGTTGTAAACAAACTGAATTTCGACCTCGTAAGGATTAGGAAAGAAAAAGCAGCAGTTCCCTGTTGTAAATCAGGCACAGTATATGAGCGTGACATGAAGAATCAGCACATTTACAATTCTACTGTGCTTGAACGAGAAATGTCCCCCCTTTTGGGAATGGCCTAAAGACACTTCAGTCAGTAGCACTGCCATGGTGGGTGGTGGGGGGGGGGGGAGAATTATAACTTTAACAAGTGCACACATCAAAAAGGAGATCATTGCTACACCATTTTTGTTGCTTATAGATCACACCATCGCCAATCAGCATCCCACAGGGGAAAGGGATGGCTTTTTACCATCACCAATTGATGTCCCGAGAAGGCAAAGTGTTAAGTCAAATTGAACATAAAAATTTGATATCTGTATATGTCAGAAAAAGAAATTAAGGCCTCTCCACAATCAAATGAGGAAACAAGGTAACTTTAAGCCTTAAATACTGAAAATAACACTATGTTTAAAAAAATGACAAATACAAGAATATGTGAACTTCACTTCTCATTGTAGAATATGAAAAAAAGAAACCAATTCCACTTGGATTATGCTCCAAAAGAACAAAGCACAACATGCATGATAAAGGAGAAAGTTTAGAAAGCATACATTGACTGTTCTTATTCGTGTGTCTATATTCAAAGTCAAGAGACACATGGCCATGATGTTTGCAACAATATTATAAAAAAAACAAAAAATTGAAAAAAGAAGGATAAAAAATACGAGAAATAAAAACAAAAGTGGTACCTTATAATTAAATAAAACACATACTGTTACTGGACCTGAAGAAATCTGCAGCTATCCCACAAAATAAACTACAGTCGAGCCTGTCTAAAACGGAAACCCAATGCCAATGAGAAAAGTGACCGTATAACGCAGGTGGCCGTCTTAGGCAGGACTGATCATAATGCAGAAAGCAAACCAAACCGTTCTGAGATCCAAACCGGTGTTGAACTCTGGCTCAGAACTGCTATGAGGCTAGTTCTAAAGGGTTGCTGTTTTCTTTTGAAAAAGGGGGTGGGGGTGTAAGAAAGTTTTGTTTTGGTTGGGTAAACATTCATTGGAGAAACTAACAATAACGACAAATTAATGGATTATGACGGCCCGTACAGGTGGCTGTATTATATGTACAGGTGGCCATATTATACAGGTGGCCCGATTGTACATTATAATATAAGCATAGGAGTGACAACGTGATTCTGATGGCACAAATATTTCAATCACACAGAAAATGCTATTCTTAATCGTCACTATTTTCATTATTAGTGTCAAAACCACTCTACAATTGACTTATGTTCTTCCATCCCCCAAGTGACATCAAAGTGTTAGATTGGAATCCACAGGGTAAAAGATCAAGGGGAAGACCACGTGGAACCTGGATAAGAGTCACGGAAATGGATGTACAGAAAAGTGGGAAGACATGGAATGACATCAAGCGACTCGCCCAGGAGAGGGAATGGTGGAAAGCGTTTGTTCGTGGCCTATATCCTGATCCAGGGTGAAAAAGGCAATGATGATGATGATGTGACATCAAAGATGGGAGAAAGTCACAATCAGAAAATGAAGCTACCCAAGGGCCATTACCCTTGCCAGTTAATATTTACCAATTTCTTTTTTTAAGAAGAAGCTCCATCAACGGGAGGGACATTTTCATACTTCAAATAACAGTTCCTAACTTGTTTCTTCTTTATAGAATCTGAACTGTCGCATAAAGTAAACAAAATATATATGTATACACCAGAGCACAACCCTGAAGCTGTTCAAAGAAAAAACTTTTTTAAAGCAGAATTGTGTTAATAAGACATCATCTTACTCAAAGAGGAAATATATGCCTACACACCTGCCCTGCAGCACCTGCAAAGACTAGTGACCAAATGGGCATCCAAGCTTGACCTGGCCACAGTAAGCCGTAAATGTTGAGTCCGTAGTATGGGATGAAATAAAGCATGTGGACCATGCACTGCAGAAAAGGTAAAACATCTTAAAATAGTCAAGGTGTATGATATCATGAGAGAGCAAAATAAGCAAGATCATCATCATGAAGTGCCAGATCTGCCACAGACACAGATCGTGGTTCTCCATTTGTTCCTTTGCTCGGATGGTGTTCAAAAAGCAACATTATCCTGATCACGCCTTGTGACCCATCTGTGAAGGATCTCCAAGTAAGTTGCCCTGCCTCATTTGCCTTCATTTTGCCTGTGAGAGCTAGATGTTCAAGACCTTTTTGTCTATTCAAGTGTCCCAGAAACTGCATTTGCAAGCAAGATTATACTGTCAAAAAAGAATAACTTTAAAATGGAAAAAAAGAGCAAATGCACACTACAACAAAAAGTGGTACAATTGTCTACTCCAATGTAATTTGTCAAGACACTGTGCCTGCTGGATGTTTCAACTAATGTCTTACAAATTGATCGTTATCGAAGACTGCAAAACTAACCATTGTTGTAGGTAGGCTCTGCATAGGAATTGAGTAGAAAGACTTGTAACAGGTAACAGCCAGAAGACAACAGCATGAGAATAGTCAAGGTAGAACATATTACTTTCCACTTATTTTATCTTTGCATGCTGACCATAAGAACAGGTTCAGTGGTATTACAAAGCCTTTGGTTCACCTAAAGTAAATGCATGTATTTCTTTTCAGCATTATGTCTGCCTCACTCACATCAGAAACAGAAAGCCATCATGATCTAACAAATTTTCCAAAGCCTATGAGACTGCATTAAAAGACTTATACTATTCAACATATTGACCGTGTACCCATAAAAAGCTGTACTTAAACTGTCATACTGGAAGCAAAAACTTTGAATTGACCAAAATGTGAGGTATTCTTTGTAATAAAGAACTTTAAAGGGCTGTAAGAATATGTTAGGCTCAGGTACTGACATTTCTATTGAATTTATTTACAATAGCTCCTAAAAAATTTAGCATTCTCAGATACAGAGAAAAGCAAATTTCATAAATTTTGATGCAAATCTAAGCATATTTTCAACAACAAAAAATTGTAGTTAGAATTTTCCATAATCTTCTCCAATCTGAGAAACAATTTCATCTTTTTCATTTTCAATTAAAAATTACATTTTTATACTTCTGAATGCTTCAAACCTTACATATTTTTAAATCATGCAGAGTAATTCAATGGTTGTTACTTCACCCTCACCTGAGCTTTTGAGTAGGGCAAAGGATCAGCAAGATATGGCTCCACTTTATCTGTGTACTGCTTGATAAGGTCACAGCTTCCTCCAAAAGCAGCCTGCAAAACAATATACAACTGCATATACCCCTTCACATACCAACGAAAAAACATCTTGTAGATGCCCTTTAGAAAGTCCACATTTTTAATCAGAAGTCACATTTTATCTCTCCATAAGTTGTAGTAGAATACTCACGCAGTCACAACAATAATTACCTCTATGTGTGATCATAAGATCTTCTGTATGACAAACAGTCAAGCACAATTTCAATCAAACGCATGTATATTCAATTAATGATTTGAAAGTTCAAACTGAAAGAGATAGCAGGGGTAGCGAACAGTGCATAAAAGATAACCCTGATCTACAAAATTCCAACATGAAGACAAATATTGTATAACAACTTCAGACTTGTTGTAACAAAAAAGATTTTAGAAACAATCAAGAAACTGTGAATAAGCATTATTAAGATTTAGACTATTTATAATTTGAGCTTAAATACTTATACTCTGCTCCAAATAATCAAATGACTCACGATAAATCTGAAAACAGCCAGCACAGCAGCGAGGATGAAGAATATGATAAAGCAGAGGTCAACTGGTCTTTTCCAAATGCTGACAGCAATACCATCAGAATCATCATTTTCCTGATAAAAAAGACATGGCTCATGATGATAAGAAGAAGAGAAAATTCTTCAGAATAATCAGAAACATATTCAAAGTGTACATTACTTTGGTTGAAAAATGAAATAAAAAAAATAAAGGTGTACAGTATTACAAAGATTGAACTCAAAGACCCTTATATTCCTTGTGCAGCACCGTATAAATCATAAGTCATCAAACATAAAACACTGAAGAAATGCTATCAAACTTAGATATGATATACCTTCTGGAACCATAAAGACATGTTCATAGCAGAGATAATTTATGGCAGCAATAGAAATCAGAATGGCAATCAAAGAATAATACAAAGGCTACATTAATGCTATCTTTCATGTTATACCATGATAAATAAGCGACATGATCCATGTACGTTCTTGGCTCTTCCATGAGTTCCTTCTTTTTCTTTAACAAAATAATCAGAATATGTGCTATTAAACAAACGCAAGCATAATGTTTTAGCTATGTTAATATGCAAATATGCATCTACTAACATATTAATGCTCATACAAACTAAAACAAATTTACCTTTAGCTGTGCTTGCAGCGTTTTACATTCTTGGCGTTTCTCATTGATAAATCTCACAGCTGCCCATAGCGACAAAGCTACTAAAGGCAAATGCAAGAAAAGAGGTGATCTTATTCCATCTTTTCCTGAAATGAGAAAAAGAGACTCAACATACAACTTGTTTGGTTTGTCAACCAAAGTGTGCAAAAATTCAGACCCATATACAGGGTGACCAGAAAAAAAGTTTGTCCAGAAGAATGCAGATAAAATCATTACGAATAAAGGTGCAAACATCCATCCAGATTTATTATGTATCAATAGCAATAAAATGTGACTTCCACAAAGTGTCAAGATATATTTTCCAGACACCCCCAATTTTGAGTAAAGCAAATTCTCACACACTGAGTGATATTGACAATCACGCATAGACACTGCTCGAGAGAAATCTCTGTTAAGCCCTGTGTGATGGTTTCTCTCAGGTATTGGATACTTTTGAATGTTTTTCCACACAGTTTGTCCTTCAAACACCCCCAAGGGTGAAAGTCCAGTGGATTCAGGTTCAGATTGTTTCGGGTCCAATTGAGCTCAGTCGGACAGACTGTCTTGTAATCAAAATGGGTTTTTGACCAAGCCCAGAACAGCTCTGGAGTCATGAGGAGCAGCCCTACCTTTACTGGAAGTGCTGGTTCTCTCTCCCTTCATCATCGATAAATTCAAGTCCAAAAACCCCTTCAGAATTTTGGTAAAATGACGAGGAGTCCCTTAGGGTTCACCGAATGACGAACGACCTTAACCTTTCCAAGAGAGCGTTGTTTTTACAGGCTGTCTACCATGTAGTTTTTATAGGCAGTCTACCGTGTGTTACTCAGCACTTAGAATTCAAATCTTATTTTCTATGAACTAAAAACTCAAAATTTGCAGCCTATTACAAAATAGACCTTTCACTTGGAAAAATATGTTTGTTTCCATCCCGTCTTCCAGAGCAAATCATGAACAGGTCGATTTGGGAGACTGGTTCTAGATACATCAAAACTAAAAAAGCACGCTGTACAGGGGCTAACAGATTTACCATCTCTTTGTTGAGCAGCAGCAATTAATTTGTTTTTAAAAACGTAATCTGGATGAATGTTCTAGCTTTCGGTCAATTTTGACATCAGTTGAATCATAAACAAGAAAGTTAACATATCTTTGAACAAACTTCCTTTCTAGTCAGCTGATAAAACCATTTACAGACTATGACAAGAAAACTGTAAGAGAAAAAAAACAAAATGTAGTCTACATTGATTAAAAATATATATATATATATCTCTCTCTCTCTCGGATTGGTACACAATCATAAATTTCCTCTCCAAACATGTCTGTCCTGTGTATTTTTCTCCAGCTGTGTCCAAGTTTTTCCCCAGTCTCATGGTATATATGCCTCTTCCAAATTCCGCCACACTGTTCTTGGCTTCCCTCTATTCCTCTGATCATGAAGATACAATCTTAGTCCTATTTTGGTTATACTTAACTTGTCATGTAGCCTTCTTTCTAAATATGCACCCCAATCAGTCACTTTTAATAGTCCCTTTGTGAGGATAAAGTCAAACCATCTCCGGCACAAAATCTGTTCAGTCAACCACTGACGAAGGTTTGAAACCTCCTCTCTAGATCTTTTATTAATTTACAGGCCTCTGATAAAGACAGCAGGACAGATTTCCCATTGCTTTTAAATTGCATGAGCTTGGGTGTACTTACTCAGTTCTTTGAACCTCCAAACCTTTCACAGCACAGTCAAGTAAATATAACTCAGGGGGGCTCTCGTGGCTTAGAGGTAAAGGAGTTGGCCTCTCATTCAAAGGTCCTGGGTTTGAATCCGGGTAGAGACAAAAAAATGTTTCTCTAAAATTGTCTCCTTTCACCTCCTTTTCTGCTCTCTAGCAATGTTCTGTCGTCTGCTTTCGTCTCCACTTTCTGCCCCCCCTCCCCCCAGCTCCTTTGCCCCCTCCTCTGGGCTCCTGACTCCTTCTGCAGCCTTTCTACTGCTAATCCTTGGCTTTTTCTTACTGCTGTCTTTCAGCCACACCCCTGATCTTCTGGTAGGAATGATCTACACCTAGCCTGCTCAGACAAGGGCGAAAAATTTCGGAGGGCCTGTGTGCAAGTTGCGCACGTCAAAGATCCCTTGGTGGTCTAAAATCGATAAGAGTAGCCTTCGGCCGCCACCGGGGCAAAATTCAAAATTTTCGACTAACTGATAAATTTAACGTGTCCCGCGCGCTAATATGACCTTATGCAGTTGTAAGCGCCATAAAACACACCAAGAAAAAAAATTTACCTCATAATACATCAGGGATTGACAAATGTGTTCAACACCATCCATAATTCGGATAAACAGACGAAACAAAAATTAGAGAGATTGTATTGAAGAAAATTAAGGGTAGTGACTGTGACGGTACAATGGTCGATAATAAAATCCTTACGATGGATTTACTGAGGCAGAATCACCGCACACAGCTTTTTGAGAGATGTTGTGTCTCCTGTTGTACCTATCCAACCATCTGTTGCTGGGTAAATCAAGGCCAAGTTCCTTTGCAATTTATTCTGCTTTCAACCATCACAATGGGACCAGAGATATAAAGAGACATGGCACAGACAATACCAACTCGATATGTTCTCAAATTTGGCAAAGCACACTTGCTTTCTGTCGGGTTGACCTCCAGTGCTGGCACTTTTTAAACTATATCTTGATTTTCCAGAAACGTGGAAAGCCTTGATTTGGTAATACCAAATCTCTAATAAATTTGTATCTTAGTGCTTGACTGTAGTGATTTTACAGCCTTTGTTCTGAAATCAGAACGGGCTGATCACACCCCTGCGGCTGACTACTTTTAAGAAGTAAAAATGAGTTTCACCAAATTTTGGTTAAAATTTTATTAATTTCTTGCACACATAAATTGATTTTCTTCATATTCACAAACTTGACGTCACCCTAGTTGAATTGTCTTTTGTTGGAAGTTTGTTGAAATTAGTGCAGATATGTCTGAGATACTACCCTTTAGGTGTGTCTTCTTTATTTTAGACACCCTGGACTAAAAAGCATACCTGAACTTCATAAAGTGTGAATGAGCTTAGAAACATTACAGTCTACACAAATACTAAGGTTGATGCATTAGAGATTTGAATGATCTTTGGTTGTACAGCCATTTTTCATGAAAGAATGCAAAAGACATTGACTATCTTACAACTGGCAATGTCAGCCAAACCCACAGGCATAACTTCAGAAAGCTCAAATCCATTCATCATATGACTAACCACATCACATTCTAAAACATACAGTCTGGAGTATGTGTAAGATTTACACTTTCAGTCTATGCCGATTGTAAACGATTATTTAAAAAAAAGAAACTTAACAGCAACATATAGAGAAAAAGACATTCTTTCTTGACCAACAACTCCACTTACCCATAAACACTCCGAGCACAAGGATCAGACTGCCGTTGCCATAGGAACCAAACCAATAGAGCCCCACATCATAGAAACTTTGACTGAAAAAAAGTAAAGTAAAAACAACAACCTGTGACAGGTCACATAGGTCCAGTAAAAGAGACTGAAAATTGAAAAACAAAAGTTGTTCATTTAGATAAAGAAGAATTAAAGCAAATAGAGCTACATAGTGGCATCCATCAACAGCCCTCTGACCAAATCATTAACCTAAAAAAATATGAAAGGTGAAGGGGGAAAAAATGAACATATATAGTATACATCTTCACTAAAGTAACTATCATCTTGTTATACCTTTGCAAGTACTGGTACAACTGATACAAGCATTTTAAAACACAACTATATCCTACATATTTTTTAATGGGACTTCAAGAAATATATACCTATACTGTTGACAAATGTATCTTCTTACCACATTAGCAAATTGAAAAATTTTATTAGATCTGTTAAGATTATGGACTCCTTACAAGATGAACATTAATGTGTTACAAAAAAGTAAACCTTTCAACATCACAATGAAACTTTCAATATTGAACATACCAAACAAGTAGAGCAGGAGGTACTTACTTCCATGATACAGCAGCCAGAATCATCAAATACAAACTGTAATGAATTATACCATCCCAATATGACACCATAGTGCCGTGTGCAGTCTTTAAGTACGGTTCTCCTTCTCTCAAATAGAATCCCATGAATTGTGCAATGAGTCCATCATTCTCCAAAGCAATGACCAAGCTCTGAACCGATCTGTATGTTAGCAAACTCAGGGCTGAAAATGACAGAAACTGTTAAATAAGATATAGCCCAAATGGATACCTTATAAACATATGTTCTTCAAGAGACTGATACTTCGTTTAGTTCAAAGTGATACTTTACATGGAAGTTGAAAGATCTCTTTTATTGAATCTGACTTAAAATTCCTCGAAAATGTACAGGATAACTTTCCATTGCAAACAATGATCAAGAAATTATATCACAATAAAGGAGAATGTCCTCACTGGGCAATCCCAAGAAATTTAATCTCCATGAAGTAGTGTTAAGAAATAAACATTCCTTTGTATTGATTTTGAAAAAGACATCAGCAAGTGCCGTAAAACACTTACTAAAATTAAAACTAAACGAAAAAGACATCATTCTGGCAGTATTACCGTAAAAGAAAGGATCCATTTTCTGCAACCTGTTTCTCAGTATCAGCCATGGTGCAATTGCAACAGCCAAGCATGATGCAAAACTAGAAAGAAATATCAGGCCTTGACTCTTTGTATGGGACACAGAGTCCAAGGTATACGATATAGGAAGGGCAAGAAGAGAGGTCAAAAACACAGCTGCAGCTCCTTTCAGGGTCATATCTTATCTGAGGAGAAAAGTTAACAGAGCAAATAATATTATAATACAGTATACAAACTAAAGTGATTTTATCAACGTTGCCATTTCTAAGCCTGCAATTTTGCATTTGGTGCAACAACAATCAGATAGATAAATTTTCTTGAATGACAAAGCTACTTTTGATTCAGTTAAACTTGAAGCATCATCAACCAGCAAAAATTCAGTAGTTTTAAGTACAGCATCCTGGAAACATCAGAATATATTGGAATTACATACGATGCAAACGATGTGTGTGTGAATTTCAATTTTTCAGATGCTACTATGGAAAAAGAAAATGTCTCAGAATTGTAACAATATGTTTCCTATGTTGACAAGCAAAACAATTTTAAAACCAAGATTAAGCTAAGCTTAAAAGGAAGAAAATAAAGCAGGACAGAGTCATTTGGAGACATCTTAATAATAACTTTGCATACAGTGTATGGTACTTTGACTGATTTTAGACAGGCTATAACTGTAGATTTTGTTTAAACAGTACAAAGCCTTTTAAGACTAATTTCCCGTTCATGTGAAAAGATTTCAAATCCACATTTTCCCCTCTCTTTATTAATGCATTGCAACTTCTCTTAGAAACACAATTGATTTCAGCAGATCTGGTTAAATTGAAGAAATTTTGGGCTGTTTCAACATGCCTCCTGGTCCCTTTCTTTCTTTTTTCTCTCAAAGCAGCATGATAATGACCGATAATGATACCACTGTCAATACACGTAACGCAACACAAACTTGACATGCTAAGACCACCTCCCCCCCCCCACCCGCCACAATCAAGTTTTCCTTCTCACTTCTTGTGTGCAGCGGGGGTGGTGAGAGAATGGCTTTGTTTTGGGGGACAGGGAGTAGATGGGTTACTGGAAAGATGTTAACTGTCCCTCATTTAATGGGAAAGTCACACAACATAAATTTTCAGATTTATATTATAATATAAATTATATATATATACAGTATTCAGAAGAAAGTGGCTATTCTCCCCCGCCCGGAAGTTCTCGCAAGATCAACTCCTCCCCTCTTCTCTCTCTCTCTGTCTCTTTCTGAATACTGTCTATCGGTGTGGACGATCAAATTGACCAAAACAAAGTTTAAAAATGATGTTAAAACACAAAAGTAAATTAATTTGGTTGTCTACAAAGATGCTACAGCTATTTAACTTTTCGAATCGAGCCGAACTACTCGGGTCGCCATTTTGTTTTGCCCGGAAATTCTCGCGCTACTCCTCTCTCTCTATCTCTCTCTCTCCACTGCCCACAGACAAAATTGGGCGCTTTTTCGGTAGTTCCCACCCCGCAATTGTTATTCACGGGTTTTGGCCCTAAGAGTAGGGGGGTTTCAGGGGGGCTTGCCCCCCTGACCTAACAAAAATAGGAAGGGGGGTTTCAGGGGGGCATGGAATTTTACCACAATTTAATGTTTTGCTGTTGTTAGGTTTGATATCTTAGCTCACCGCGAATCAAACGTATAGTTAGATCTAGATCTAGATCTAGAGATATAGAGATGTAGGTCACGCTCATATAAGGGGGGGTGGGAACTACCGAAAAAGCACCCAAAATTGTACGCTTTTAGTAGGCTACAGTTGTAATGGAACGTTTGTTCACGGCACAGAATTCTACAATTTTTCTGTTATCACAGTGTAGAATTCTGTGGTTTAGGGTGAACACAATATTTGGTGAATGCGCACCGGGTGAGAATAGAGGTGGCCATTCAGAAAGAGACAGAGAGAGAGAGAAGAGGGGAGGAGTAGATCTTGCGAGAACTTCCGGGCGGGTGAGAATAGCCACTTTCGTTATAAAAAGATCGTCGCAACAAATTTACTCTCATCATTTGTAGATCTAGATTCTACTACTCATCATAGCACGCAATGTCGTTTTATTTGTCTGGTAATTCTGTAATTAAATTAATATGATGTCGACCAGGGACAACGGGCTAGACTAACTACGACACTAACGTGATCTGTCACCTGTCCTTCGACTTGAGTGATAAAAATTGTAAAATATCGGGATGAGGAAACGTTGAGTGTTTCTAGTGCTCCACTGTTTGTGTATCTTTCGAAAGTACCCACCTACGACTGACTTCCGGTACCAATAGGGTAAACTCCGTTCTTATTCTTGGTCTGATGGGCCTATGGCCAGAAAAAATATCAGGATGCAATGATATCCGCACTAAGAGTGATTTCTGAACTTGGGATAGATAGCTTTATTTCCTCTTTGAAGAATAAGAGAAATTGTAAAGCATTTAAAATCTTGTTTTAAGATTTAAGCTCCTTGGGTAGGGTCAAAACTTTGGGTAGAGTCATGCTCACAGAATTCTACACTAAGTGTAGAATTCTGTGGTCATGCTATACATGTGTAACTTGGCTTTGGTTTCGAAGTACGGAGTTATTCTTGTGTCAAGGGAAGTAAGAAACAGAAAGGAAGAAACATTGAGACTGCAGAGGCAGAACCAGAACCACAGTGACAGTGGCCACTAACCAGATATAGATCTACACACTATTGACTATTCACTATTGAATAGCCCCATAAAATACTCGACGGAGAATACCTTTGAGACGAAAAGACTTGATCCTGACTATCCTCTGCTTATGTGAATGTTTGTAAGTACTTGCTTCAGTTCATAACAAATAATAACATTTTTGTTTTTTGGCCTTTCACTTTTTTCCGAGCCAAACAAATGACCAAATTGTAGTCTTGTGTACTTGTTTTACAAGTCTTGTAGATCTAGATTCTAGATCTAGATTAGTTCCGTTCGTTAAAGTCCACAACCCATTTGTTTACATCCAGAGAAGAAATTCGGAAGTCTTGATGACCAAATAGGCAACACAAAGAACAGGGATGCAACCTAACTGCAAAACATTTATAAAATTATATGGTAAAATTCCGGGCGCTTTTTCGGTAGATCTAGATTCTAGTTCCCACCCCGCAATTGTTATTCACGGGTTTTGGCCCCAAGAGTAGGGGGGTTTCAGGGGGGCATGCCCCCCTGAATTTTTCCACAATTTAATGTTGGTAGCGTCAATTGTCACCGAGTGACGCGGTGGCAATTGAAAAAAATTGACTTTTTGTCAATTGCCACCGTGTGAAGTGGTGTCAAGTCTGAAAACAACACTATCTTTAGCTTTGTACATATAATGTGTGTCTAATGGGTCAATTTGTTCTCAATAATTTCATTGGACGAGCATCTAGTCTAGAGCTACGATACCAACTTGACGTGTTTTCAATGAGACGTAGGCCTAGATCTAGGCTAGCCTTAGCCTACACTTTGATGTAGAACCAAGGAGTTTAGAACTACTTTTAAATCTCCTTGTGTAGAACCAACACAGGCAATTCTAGAAGTAGAAGGTCACAAACGCACACAAACTCTTGTCAAGCAGAAATTCACGTTATATCGGGGAACATAAATCGAGGGACGGGGGTCAGGAAAAGAAACACACACACACACACACACACACAGGGACAGAGAGGCGAACGCACAACACCGAGCACTCGAGCACAATAAGCTTCATCTACCCACCAATGCGAAAGAGCTTCAATTTACTCGGTGGCAATTGACAAAAAGTCAATTTTTTGTCAATTGCCACTGCGTCACTCGGTGGCAATTGACACTACCTTTAATGTTTTGCTGTTGTTAGGTTTGATATCTTAGCTCACCGCGAATCAAACGTATGACGTATAGATCTAGTCTCTAGATCTAGATCTAGAAGTAGGTCAGGCTCAAATAAGGGGGGTGGGAACTACCGAAAAAGCACCAAATTCCGGGGGGCATGCCGGCGCTTTGTTACTTAATGGTAGTTCCCACCTGGGCTATTGTTTTTGCCCCAAGAGTAGGGGGGTTTCCCCCTAACCTTAGATATAGATATGGTGAGGGGGTTTGCTCCCCTGAATTTTACCATAATTTGATATTTTGCAGTTATTAAGTTTGATCTTAGCTCGCCGCGCATCAGACGTACTAGATCTAATATAGATCAAGGCTCACCCCTGAACCCCCCTGCACCCCCGAACGCATGCTGTTAATAAATGTAGAAGACGCATCTTTCTGATTGACTGCTAATAGTAATGTGATGTCATCTGGGATACCCACAGACTATTTTAAGAAGGCCTAGGAGGTACCGCATGCATAGAATGACGTATTGTTAATAAACATTTTGGAATTCCAGCATTGAAACCGTACGAATGTCAACAATTTCCTTCGTTGAGACATTGACAGGTTTGAGCTTCCTAATTTTCCGCTTCACTACGTCTATTGAATTCATTCTTTGAACTAAAAAGTTGCCTCTAGATCTACCGTATAAAAGAGATTTTATTCATCATCGGAGCACCGCATCATTACCGGTATTCCTGGAAAAACATTGCACCAAAGCGTCGTGCCATCCCGTTGGCTATATTTACCTATAGATATTATACAGTCATTTGATCGAAGGGGTGTTCCAGTCTGACGTCACACAAAATGACCGCCTTACCTAAAAATAATTTGTGTCCTTCTTCGTTTAATCGCAAGTCCCCCCCCCCCATCTATATAAAATTAGCTACTCTTGACTCTTAGGGCCCAAACCTGCAAATATAATAATTGGGGTGGGAACTGCCGAAAAGGGTCATTCTATGCTTGAATTTTGTTTTTCTCCTCAGTGATTATCTGGCAAACCAGGGTCTCTGGCGTTCAGCTTTGGACTTTAACGAACGAAACTACAAAATCGCCTTAATCTGTAGTCTATTGAATGTAAAGTGAACTGTAGGCCTACCCTACTCTATACACTCAACTGTCTACTGTACTGTAATGTAAACTACTGTTAACTAAACTGTTGTCTGTTGTAAATTTATTCTTCCTTGACTTTACTTTCCACTTTCACTTACTACAACCATACAATTAGTATAAATTTCTAATGTAGTTCTAGACTTATGTAACTAATCATTAATTTGTGGATTTTCTTTGAACGACCAAATCTTAAGTGCACTTGCAACGGAATTCCGATTATAAAAAATCTTTTATTATTATTTTTTTTGTACAGTACAAAAAATACAAGCATATGTATGGAGCTGTGGATGTATTTTCAGTGCATGCAGCCTCGACATGTAGTGTTTATTATGTCTCTAGCAAAATATGTGTGATCATTGTATAACGTAGTTTCTTCTTTTCACGATGGCTTGGTCTCGTTATTTAACTCTTAGTCTTAGTACACGGCATGCAAGTTCAGCCAGCTCACAGCATCTCTCAATTGTGTACAGCCATAAAATAACATAAATCTACAAGGTCTAGGCAGTCCATCTTATATTATAAAACTAATATTTACTGCTTGGATCATTCATACCCCCTGTTTTGCATTTATTTTAATTCAAATAGGTTAAACAGGGGCGGAGATATAGATAGATATAGGGGGAGGTTTGTGCTACTAAAAACTTAGATATGACACACAATTGGATGCTTACAAAGGAGGAATAGCCTTCCTTGCATATATACTAAGAGTCAGTTTTTTCAATAGACTGGTGACGAACTGACACGATATAGGAAAACACAGTAATCTTTTATAAATCGTAGTTTTACTGTCAAATGTACACCCTATGTGTTGGCTGTGTCTGACCAGATCTCAAGCTTTTAAAAATGTGGAGGAGGTGGTCTTCTTCTTAGTATCTCAAATCCTCGGTGGCATTTCTGGCATTGTCATCCGGTCTTTTATTTTATAAAAATTAATAAATAAAACAACACTTTTGCAATGGTGCAGGTGCCTTAGGCTTTCTTTTCAGCTTCATTTTACTCTCGCAAATCAGGCAAAGTTCTTTCAGGGATGATGTATGTTTCTCGCGTGTGTGTTCCATTAGGAGTTTTCAGCCAACTTGTTAAAAATGATCCACGGGCTGTTGGATTTTTCCCTAATATCGTAACAATTGTGACAACAACAAAGATAGAATTCATGCACATGATGAAGCGCAAGTGTGTCTCCCAAAATTAGAAACTATAATCTTTGAAATTGATGGAGAACTGTAGAACTTAAAAGGCGTAGAATTTGTAGCAAGTACAGTTACATTGGCGAATAACCAGGCACCAGATGAGAATCAGATGGATGTAACTAAAATCTCTACAACCGTTCTCCCAATTTTGATGAAATTTACACACATGAAAGAACATTATGATTTCCGTACATGTACCAAAAATCGTTGAAATTTATAAACACCTTTAGAAGTTAAAAGCCTTTTAAGTGCAATAAACGTAGATTAAAATAGTTGAAATTGAAAACATTTTGCACACACAGTAACACAGGCAAATATCATCGCATTTAGGTCGAGTTTTCGCAGACTGTGAGAGGGAGACTTGGTTTTTTCTTCTGGTATGAAATATTTCGTGGTTACAGTGAGGATGCTGCCGAATATAGTGTCAAAAGTGTCGATTACGCCACAAACTGCCCGCCTGTAGCTGATGCACGCAGGAGCGGCCAGTGACCCCAATCTAACCCGGCACGGAGCTGTTCCGGCGGTGATTTAATGACTTCCAGGTGTCGCTGGGCTGATAAACTAACACAATTTCGGCCAGTTTTCGGCATTTGTGCCATGGCCATAGACCTTTGGACTAAGAGGTGAACAGCATACCTCTAGACTACAAAAGCTCCCTAGAATTCAATGAAAGGATTAAATTATTATGGTAATCCAATGTAAGTCCAGAGCATGGTAAACCCATCATCTAAGATTTTTGTCCCCTTCACATGATGGCTTGATAGCATTGCCTGGTTTCAGAGGTTAAATTTGCGAGAAAATGGCCACCAAATTTGGGTTATTTCCTTAGCCAGAGAGTCTGTGGAAACTGAAAATTTACATCTTTTATGCCTTTAATCAATGTTTTTCAGTAAAATTCACACATATTTGTATTTCTTAGTGGGCATGAATGGTGTTGGGCCAAAAAACAAAAATTTGATAAATATTCCCAAACTTGCACAAAAATGCCAGTTTCTTGATTTTCCTGTATTTTGACGAGTGCCTGATTTCACCATGCTGCCTCACCTATAGACCAATGGCGATGGGTAGTGAAGGGCTCACGGGCTTGAGCCCCCCTCCCCACCCCCAAAGTCTATCCCAAGGCAAATGAAAATAACGAAATAAGCAGTTGAAACTGTTCTGATCGACTGCAATAAACACAAAGTGGTCAACTTGGCGGCTTGCTCGTTTATCCAATCACTGTTGTCCCCGCTTACAACTATAGTAACCTAACAGCCAATCAAATGTCTTTAGGGCTCAGCAATCAACCAGCCCATTCCCACGGTCTCTCCTTAATGAAACCCCTCTTGTAAAAAGGTAGAAGACTTGAAAAAAATAACACTGCACAGAGGGCTCTCCCAGCCCTGACAATGGGGTGAAAGTTTACGACACACTTTCCCCCCGTGACACAGTTACATATGCGCCCATTGGGCCTTTGTTAGGCGCGTTCTATCTGCAACAACACGACCCAATCCTCCTCATAGACGGTGTGTGTTTGGAGTGCTGTGTGTTTGTGCCGCCGAGATTTAACAGTTATTAATTACGCCAAACCACTTTTGAGGCAACTTTTTCATCAAATAAAAACTAATTAGAGAAATTTGGAGGTGAAACGGCTTCGTCCCCACCATCCAGAAGA